TCTTTCCAAATGTACTGCATAAAAACGTCTGAGGACATTCTCAATTTTTCTAATAAACTTGGAATTTTTTGCGAAAACTGAAAAAAGAGCGCTCATACTGGTGATACATTATTGAAGAGTTCGGTCTTCTCAATATAGTTTCCATCCCCCTTCACTGGCCTTCTAGAGCACTTTCAGTTTTACTTTATGCTGATGATGCAGTCCTGCTGTCTTGTAGCTGTATAGGTTTAAAGTGTATGTTGAGAGCCCTTGCAGCATACTATAATAATGAACATCTAACAATTAATTACAGAAATTCCAAAATAATTGTGTTCAGAGGTCATTTCGGGGGGGATCGTGGGGGAACGCAGTTCCCCCGGGTGAGGGGCGGGGCACATGATGAAGCCCCGCCCCCTGCTTCCAGCTGCCCCACTTCCGGCCCTCATTCAGCCAGGAGGAGGCAGGAGAAGAGGGAGGGTAAGTTGCTTCCTCCCCGTCTCTCCCCACCCCTGCCTGCCTGGAGCCAGGGAGGGCCTTGGCGGGGCTTCCTTGCACTCCCGCCGACCTTGCAGGTCCACCGCCGAGCCCCTGATGTCAGGGGGTGTGGCATATGCTAATGAGTTATGCTAATGAGTTCCCCTAGTTCTTTTTCTATGAAACGACCCCTGATTGTGTTTAATAGATCTAAGTACAGATGGTTAATTAATGGGAATGTTATTGAGCAGGTTACGTGTTTTAAATATTTAGGTGTAGTTTTTCTTTCTTTCGGGTCTTGGCACAAATCAAATCAAGAATTTAGTTGGGAATGCCCAGAGAAGTGACTCTGCTCTGAGGGGGAAAAATTATACTAGTGGTGTCCAGCATGTTCCTTCTAGGGTTCCCAGACCTCTGGTCTGGGCAAGGGATCCCCTGATTTTCAGGGCTCCTGCCCACCGCTGGTCAGCTAGCTGGTAGGGGAAGCCCTGCCCCGAACAGCAACATTGCATAGTGACATCCCCAACTTGATGACATCACACAGAAGTGACATCATTGCATCGGCGACATCACATGGCGACACTCTGCTTTTTGGGCAAAACGTTATGGTTTGAGCCCAATTTTTAGCCACTGAGTCTGTCCAAAATGCAAAGTGTCACCACCGTCACTTCCATGTGACATCATCATGTTGGGAATGTCACTGCCCACTCCCAAAACACCCCCAAATCCTCCTGTCAGTGCAACGATCGCGCCTGGCAACCCTAGTTCCTTCAGCTATATGTGACTTTGTGGTCAAGGTTATTTCTCAGTTGTTGTATGGCTCTCAGCTATGTACGTATGCTATTTAACAGTGCTCTTGAAGTCGTGCAGCCTAACAGTCACTCACTGTGTTCCCAAACACAGTTTTGCATCTAGAAGTAGGTTTAATCTCTCTGGAAGCTTGTTCATGGATACACAGGATTGATCACTGGTTATTTTTTCTCCTGTAGGTCTGGCACCTCTGGTGTTAATAGACGCCTTTCAGTCAAAATGGAAAAAGAAATTATAATTCTTTGGCTATTCTACCAGCAGTTTAATAACCTTGGGGTATTCAAAAGCTACATCAGAAATTAAGCAAAGAATCTGGGCTATTAAACTCCAACACCACTTAAGTTCTACTGCGAAATTTCATCACCTTCAGAAGAAGAAATTGGAACTATCAAATTATTTGGCTAATCTACTGATCCCCAAACACAGAACAGCTTTTACTCTGGCCCATTCTAATCCACTCCCATATGTCTTATGGGAAGGGAGGTACAGTAGTATTCAGTTTCACAAACATTTATGCCCCTGTGCTACTGAGGAAGTTGAAACAGTTGGACATGTATTGCTGCACTGTCCATTTTACGAAGACCTCAGATACACTTTTATTCAGCCTGTCCTCCATAAAATTCCAGGAAGACTGGAGGAATAGTACCCCTCCATTCTTCTAGCTGACCTTGAGCCTCAGACACAGTTGCAAGATTCTGTGCAGCTGCTGGAGTCTACCAAGGTACAGTACTAATTTAATGCACCATGTTTTCTAGTTTTGTATTTTTATTGTGTGTGTGTGTGTGTGTGTGTGTATACACACATTTGTATATATACATAAACACATACACATACTTTTAGAACTGTCTTGTTGGTGTGTCTTGTTGATATGTCTAGTTGTTTGATTTTGTAGATCTGATTCTGCTGGTCTTCGACCATAATAAATGAAACTTCAGCTTCAATATTATAACATTAAGCTTAGTATCCAGATATGCTGGTAGTCCTACCTATTATATTTTCTGTCCACTTTATTTATGATGATATTTATACTTTTAAATTCCATAAATAATGCCAAATAGTATAATCCTATATGCTGAGTAAGATAAAAATGATGCACTGTATTTTGTTAAACCAGTAAAGGTAGCTTAGGTTTAATAGAAAAGTAAGTTATTGAATATTTCAATTTCCCACAAAATTCCCAGGGTTGGGTTTGTTTGTTTTTGTTAAAAAACACACACATAAAAAGGTTTTCCATGACTTCAACATGTGTTGAAATTTTATTATCTCTACCCAGGAGGCAGAAATGTTGTCTATATTGCATGAGGGACAACCCCACAAACCGTGACTTATGAATTCAGACAACTAGCTACAAACTGCAATTTGAAATCCCGCTCCTGCTGCTGCAGAAGCAGTGGCAACAGACAGAAACATAGGCAGAGGGAAAGGCTCCCTGCCTCCCTCATCCACCATAGACCTCTGATGCTATTTCAGCAGCATCCAAGGCATCTGGTGCGCTCTGGGTACTGTAACTATCAGGATGCTGGACAAAGACATTGTGGGGTGGGGGAGAAGAAAGGAAGGAGAGAGGGAGGCGGGGAAACTCTTCCTTTGTCTGTTGGTCTGCCTCTGCATCCCTCACAGGACGTAAAAGAGAAGAAGAGGTACTTCTTTGGCTCAGATATACAATCCAAGCCAGAGAACAATTTGGAGTTGTAATGTTTGCTGAGGCTTCTATTCCAAGTTCTGATAATAAGAAGTTGGTGGCATCTTCAATTACAACAGGCCTTGAGAAATGGAGAAACACTGCATTAATTCTTGGATGTTCAGGTAGGTATAAAGGCTGGTACAATGATGTACTAGAAAATTCTTTGTTCCTACAGTTAAGCCAAGCTATAATGCAATTGCCTAATGTTGCAGCTAATACTTAAGAGAACAATCAGAAGAGGCCATGTTGCAGAAATGCAACTTTAAATAGTTCCATGCCACTACAGATATTTTTTGCTGTTTATATTAGCATGGAGAAAAATCACTTAGTCCACATGTTACATTTTCACCATGTAGAGTGAAGTCACACCATGGAGGATTTAAAGCAGCCCAAATGCAGCTGTCATAAGATGTAGATCAACTGATTTCTCTCTATGCTTGGATAATTCAGTGTACCAAAATAAGTAATCTTTGCTTCTTCACTCATGTTCCTTCACAGTTTCAAAAAGCAGCAACATCACTATTAGGTTTCTGTTCTTCTAATCGATTTATATTTGCTTCTGTCATCAAGCTATAGCAGTATTTCCCATGTGAACTAGATTACGCACATTAACAATCCTGGCAAATTACTTTTAGTGGTCAAAGAACCCAGCCAGAGTGTCTGGGGTGGTTTCTGTTTGGTAAACACAGCCTATGGGAGATGAAGGGGTGACAAGGTTTGGCCATCTGTTTCTTTTTGAACTGAAATAATGGAGCGTGAAGGAATAATGAAGTACAGACATTCTTAATAGCTTCTGGAATGCCAGTGCTTACATCGATAACTCTTTTGCTAGTAAAATGTCTATGTGTGGAATGTATGTAAAATTCCTAGCAGTTTCTACAGCTGCTCCAAGAGGATTTGCTGTGTGCTGTATAAAACAAATAATTACTGGATGTGTACAACCAAACATTCTAGTTTAAATAAAGACAGTAAAAGCAACATTGAAATGGTAACGGAAATGATACCAAAGATGGTGGAGCAGGAGGTTGGGGACATCTTTGGGTCAGCTGAAAGGGATACTTCTGCTGTTATGGGTGAGAGCCAGAAGGCTCTTAGCCTATTGCCTGCAGCCTCTAGCAGGGACGGAAATGACACAGTGGATCAAGGACCAGCTCAGGAGTTGATTTATTTTACTTAATGTTATATGTAGCCCACCTTCTTGCTGAGACTCAAGGCAGATTACACAGTGAAAAACAATGTATATTGAATAGCATGAGACATACAAGTAACAATGTCTTGCAAGATCTAGGATCACAAAAATTAGAAGCAACACAAAAATAGTATCAGACTTTTTACAACATCATATGTCATAAACAAGCAAAAGCACGGCATCACAAAAGTAGAAAATAATACAGTAAAAGCAAGATAATACACAATAAATAATGAGATTGACGACAATCATGTCCCTTTTACAAAATTGCCCTCCATTGTTGTGACGTTGGAGTTGGAGTTGTGACGTATATTTTGTTTTATGAATTATATTTTGCTGGGGTTTTTTTGTGAACAACTTTAAGTCTACTGTGGGGAGAGAAGTGGGACAGAAATTCTTGGATCCAAGCATTCCCTTTTATACACAGAAGGTGCTTCTTGTAACACCTTCCTGTGTTCTACAGAGAGGGATCCCCAATTTTGCTGATCTCTTCTCCCCCATTTGCCACATCCCATGCCACTCCAGTAGGCTCCCTGAACTCTTAGAGGTCGCACACGAGTGAAAAAGAAACTGTGGAAGGAAGGGAGAGCTGGGAGCCTGCCTGTAATGAGTACACATCACTCAGTTTTTTGGATCCAAGCCTAACAGTGTAGTCCTACGCAAAATTACAACCTTCTAAGTCCACTGAAGCCATATGCTTCCTGTCTCCAGAAATAAACACATACCTCTCATATGTTTTTGAAGAGCAATGTACTGTCTTTGACGATGATTATAACTATGTACTGCACCAAAACATGAACAACCCAACCTGGGTGCACACCTAATTTGATCCTTAGTTCTGTACATGAAAGACCCATCCATATGTGGACTCTAGACCAGAGCTAAAATCTATCCTAAGTAATTAATACAATCTTAATTCAAAATAACTAAGTAAAACCAACAGTGACCATACTAACATAAAATCTAATAGATTCAGGTGGGTAGTCAATTCAATTCAATTCAAATACCTTTTATTGGCATACGATATTAGAAGCATTTACCAATAATACAATCCAACAGGTGGGTAGTCATGTTGGTCTGAAGCAGCAAAACAAACTTCGAGTCCAGTGGCTCCTTTAAGACCAACAAAGTTTTACTCAAGGTATAAGCTTTCGTATGCCCATCTGAAGATCGTATAACCATCTGAAGAAGTGTGTGTGCACACGAAAGCTTATACCATGAATAAAACTTTGTTGGTCTTAAAGGAGCCACTGGACTCGAACTTTGTTTAGAAAATCTAATATAAATAGAAAACAGGCATTATTTCTCATCTAAAAACAAGTTATCCCCATTCAGGGAACTCTATAAGTAACTGGAAGACTTGCCATCTTTCCTGAATTAATATAATATAGACTTGTAAACAGTATGGTACATTTTCCATAGTAACCACTTTCATGTTATAGAGAAACATGCACTAACAGGACTAGTTTCAGTAGAAAAGAGCAAGAATAGCACCTTAGTCCAGTAGCACTTTAAAGACTCACAAAATTTGTGGCAGGGTATGAGTTTTTGTGAGTCACTGTTCATTTCTTCATAAGAACACAAGAGAAGCCAATGTTGGACCAGGCCAATGGCCTATACAGTCCAACACTCTGTTATACAGTAGCCAAAAATACCAGGTGCCATCAGGAGGTCCACCAGTGGGGCCAGGACACTAGAAACCCTCCCACCGTTGCTCCACCCCCCAGCACCAAGAATATAGAGTTTTCTCTTGCCCCAGACTGAGAGTTCCTATCTATACCTTGTGGCTAATAGCCAACGATGGACCTCTGCTCCATATGTTTATCTAATTCCCTCTTGAAGCTGTCCACACTTGTAGCCACCGCCACCTCCTGTAGCAGTGAATTCCAAATGTTCATCACTCTTTGGGTGAAGAAGTACTTCCTTTTATCTGTTCTAACCCGATTGCTCAGCAATTTCATTGAGTGCCCATGAGTTCTTGTATTGTGAGAACGGGAGAAAAGTACCTCTTTCTCTACCTGCTCTATCCCATGCATAATCTTATAAACTTCGATCATGTCACGCCTCAGTTGTCATTTCTCCAATCTAAAGAACCCCAAGCGCTTTAACCTTTCTTCATAGGGAAAGTGTCCCAACCCTTTTACCATTCTAGTTGCCCTTTTCTGCAGTTTTTCCAATGCTATAATATCCTTCCTGAGGTGTGGTGACCAGAATTGCACACAGTATTCCAAATGAGGTTGCACTATCGATTTATACAGGAGCATTATGATACTGGCTGATTTGTTTTCAGTTCCCTTCCTAATAATCCCCAGCATAGCGTTGGCCTTTTTTATTGCAGTTGCACACTGTTTCAGATCGTCTCCGCCACAACCTAAGTGTGCTACTGTGCATTTTCCTCCTCCACTTCATCTGCTCCTTGCACACAGGGCTAAGGGGAGCCAGGGAGTCACTGCTTTCAGCATCTCTCTGCCTAGGAAGTGGAAGACTGTCCTAAAGGACCTCCTAGTAGAACTAGATGGGCCAAGAGTATTTGGCCTGCAGTGGGTCCTCTGCAGATGCTGACACTGTGTACTTACCTACCTCTCTGAATTTATTACATAAGATTACTAGTTGAACTCTGAAAGGGAGTAAAAAATTATACAAGTTTTAAATTAAGAAGTCTTACTCTGACAATCTTGATATTTCAGTTAGATACAGCAAAAAGCAATTTGCTGCTTGACCAAATAACTCAAATTAGATAAGACACACAGTTCACACCAAATACGCAGCATACAGTTGTTGCACAACCTCCACTTACTTAACTGTAATCCCAGCAAAATTCTCCATCAACCACTTCCTTCTAGATAGACAATTTTAAAATTTGTTCTGAACATTTACCTCCTGGCACACACTGGAAACCATCCCCATGATAGCCTGCTTTACATTGGCAGCTGAAGGATCCCGGAGTATTGTAACAGAAAGCATCTGGGTGGCAGCGACTGAGCTGACATTCATCTATATCTGTGAAGTAAAAGACCAAAATAAGCAGCTTCTCACTGTATCTGTAAGGTAAATGTGGGCAGGGGGAGACATACAGTGCCAACCTTCAGGCCAAACTAAACACGTCAGGAGATCTGTGAATAGATATCCTGCAAGTTTTAAAAGTGTAAACAACAATGGAAGCTACAGTGCAGGAAGGTGTTTCATTCTGTCTTCACCCCACTGACTTCCTAATGCATACTGCACATCCGGAAGCTGCTACTTGCTCTGCCAGGAGCAATATGCAGACATTACTCAATGATCTAGATCAGCACTCATTTTCTTTTTTCATATGCTGCCATGGTAGAATGGCCACACCCATGCAATATGGGGCCAGCCCTGACCATACGTAATGGTACAATTTCAATTATACAATGAACACAGGCAATTCTCCATTTAGAAATTGAGATCTGCTCCTGGGACAGCCTATATCTCAAAAGGATCCATGGGGAGAAACCAAATTAAAGAAAGCATATGTGGCAATTGTGGAACCCTTGGAACAATAAGTTGTATCTAAACCACACAAAAATTTATAATAAAAGAAAGCCATTGATTAGAACAAATAATTAAGGTTCATAAACAAAATTATTTATACATAAATAACTTGGAAATTACCAAATGATTTCCATGTACATAGCCATAGCTAACCAGACTAATGACTATTATTCAGGTGATACGTTTTTCACATCAGGGTTAAAAATTCAGTATATTGGATATATCACCTCAGGAGCTAAAGTAGAATAAAGCAGCCCATCGGCTCCCTGCCAGAGACACTCTCATGAGAACCAGTGTGACACATTTAGCTTGAATTAAGATAGTCCTATCATAGCAATATTGCACATTATTGGGATATTTGCTTGTAATATGTGCAATCAGATTGCTTTTATAAATGTTATACTGAATGTCAGGAGTTCCGTTGACAACATATTACTGTGTTAGGAATCCCAGAGGCATCTTGTGAACATCTGAAAATAGTGGACATGTCCTGGTTCTGGCTGGTCACCATGGATATACTTCACTGAAGCTAGATACACAGTCCAAAAGAAAGCCGAGAAACAGTGCCAAGGGTCACAATGCCGGGAAATCAGTCAGAGTTTTCCGGAGCAAAGAGCAGAGGCTGGCAGCCTGGACAAGGTCCGAGATTGCACGGTTGCATCCACACCAAGGCAGGTGAGCGTGGTTGCTTATACTTCTATCCTCCCTTCCCTGGGAGGCGACCTGAAAAGACACCCTCACTTTGCTTTTGAAACAGCTGAAGTCTGGCACTCCTCTGTCTCTCCCGCACCTCCAGACGCTGGCGTGCCCTGTGCCTGGGACATTCAGGTGAGCTAGGTGGGGACTCTGGCCTCGAGTTGTCTCCAATTGGGGGTGCTGGGCCAACTGCACCTCCAACTGCACCTCAGGCTCTTCACCTTGCTGCACCTCAGATGCTGGAGCCTCTCCTTCCTCAGGTGCTGACAAAGGTTCCTCTTCAGGGTTGACTCCGGAAGAGGCTGAGTTGCTCTGTGCCTCTTCCTTGTCTGAGGAATAGTCCGCCTTGGTTGAGCCAGAACCCATGAGAGGACATTTCCAGCATTTATCAATCTATTTCTGCCAATTCAGACATTCACAAGATGCATTTGGAACTGACAACCTTTCCCAGTAAATGTCAACACAGCATTGCTGACAATCACTTCAACTATTGCCAAATCGAGGCTAATGTACAGTCAAAGGGATCCAAACCAAATTATTAAGCTTTGTGTAACTGAAATGCAAAAGCCTCCAAGCACAAGATGCAAAGTAGTGCAAAAAAGCAATTACCCACCCACACAGGAGCGCCCATCTCCAGAGAAGCCAGACTGGCATGTGCAGATGTAAGAAGAACCACCGGTGTATATGCAGCGGGCACGCTGAGGGATATCGCAAGTGTGTGTGCCTGTCACACAATGATTGACGACACGATCAACAGCTGTAAGTTAGAAAGACATATACAAAGAACATTTTAAAAGTTAATCAAGTTCTTTCTTTAATATTTTGGTCAAAGGGAAATTCTGAGATAACTTTTTAGAAGAACCAATCAAAAACCTTTTCACTCTGTTTTTTGTATGCCTTCCTCCCTGGCTTATCATGTTCTTGGCTTCTTCCTGCTGCCTTCCATCAGCTAACAACCACCCTTCCCGCCTTCAAAACTTTGTTTCTCTCCTTCTATCCAGAGTGGCCCAAGTCACTTCTACACAGCTTGTTTTTTGAACTAACCAAACAACAATTCTCTTCCTTACAGCAGAGTGCTCACCCATCTTCTTGATCTTCCAGCAGGAGCTGCTGATCCTGCAGTTCCTGAGAAATCCCTTTTACATGAAGTTAGGTGTGAATCAGCTGCCAGTAATGATACCTGCCACCCCCTTTCCTGACACATATGGCAGGCACAAGGAAAGATATTGGTGAATGAACTGGTGCTCATAGGCACCATGTTGGAGAATGGAGGCCTAAAGGCCAGATTTCCCCCCCATGTTACATGAAATCTTATGCCCAAAGAATTAATAGTTTCAAGATCCAAGAAAAACAGTATCCTTCAATATATAAAAACAGGAGAATGTGTAGGATTTTATAAGATACCTGTCTCTATCCTTATCTGCGTAAGTGTTACAACATCAACATTCAGGTACTTGATCTACTAGCAGCAAAAGATCTGAGCTCTGATGGGTTTGGATTACTTCAAGTCAAATAGTGACACACACAAAGTCTTCAAAAACACACACTCATATTACCAAGAAATACTTAAGATGTTTAACTTTTGTAACATTAGCTAAAGAATAAGCTAACCTATTATGTTTATGAAGGGGAAAGGAAGGAGCCAAAAATCCTAAATATAAATATAAATTCTTAAGCTAAAATTCTCTCCAACAGATGTTTAAACAACTCCAGTCTATGAAAGGAAATAATTTATTCAATTATCTGGCAGTTCCTATGATATTTTTTTTGTACAAACCTGGGGCTTTTTCCAGGTTTGCACAAAGATCTGTCTTGTCTGTTCATGCCTTCAGTCTCCACATTTAAGAATCCACAGAACTGGCCATGTTGAAAATTAGATATAGTGATGATGTATTCAAGAATGTAGTCTCCTGCCTGCTACAATTTCATCTTCTGTTTGCTACTGTAAGTTCCATTGCCTTGCAGTAGATGATGGCAGGTTCAGATTTTGGGTCAGTCAGTACTTGGAAATGTTTATGGACTAGTTTATGGATTTTACTTGGACTAGTTTATGGATTTTAAATGGATTTAACCCTGCTTTAATCCCCATTGTTTGTCAAATTAACTGTTATGTTAATGCATTTTAGTTATATGTATATGCTTCTTTTGTACCTTTGACTTTATTGGAAGAAATAGGCCTTTGCTTTTTAAAAAGATTTTTGTTTAGAATTATTGAATGAGTATTATTCTATTATATGACTACAAATGCAAGATGCATATCAAATTCACTCTGGAGCTTAATTCTAAATTAAGATTAAATTGTATATTTAGTAATTTATTTAGTCTTTGCAGATTCCACTGAAGGTCAACAGCACATTTTTTAAATTAAGTAACTGTTATTAGATTTCCCATTAGCATCTTACCTGGGTTCTGGTGCAGTTCCTCTTTTTTTTTGTGTGTGTGTCTAACTTAAGCCAGATGCATATTTTGAATGGTAAATCCAAAGGTACAAACATCACACTGGTAGCTTAAGCCCATGGTGTGTGTCCAACAATAATTCTTTATGAAACCTAAGCGTTTCCATCATTGAATTAAGAACAGCCTTGTCGTTCTTTATATTCATCAAGAAAAACCAAGACTTAAAAAAATAATTACTTTTTTCATCTTTGTCTTCCAAAAGAAGTGAAGAAAAGAAAACCACTACTTTGGTAGTTTACTCAGAGGATCCTATTATCCCAAACAAAATAAACAAAGTCTGGAAAGTAAACGCACCAACGCATGTTCGTCCATCAGCTGAAAACTGATACCCTTCTAGACATTCACATCTGAAAGTTCCTGGCTGATTATTACAGACTGCATTGCTGCCACATACTGTTGGCTGATCCAGGCATTCATCTATATCTACACACACAAACAATGTTATTTTAGCAGGATTGCTTAAACAGCTCTTAAAGACAGGAATGATATCTATTTATTTAAAACATTTCTATGCCACCTTTCCATTCAAATAGGTTTCCCAAGGGGGTGATCAAAACATTAAAACATCATTTAAAATAAAGTATATATAAAATAAACAATTCAATAAACACATATAAACAGACAACACACATAAGACAACCAAGAAAAAGGGTCAATAAGTTACTAAGAGTATGCCAAAGGAAACAAAAGAGTCTTCACCCGCTAGTGGAGGGTCAAAACCCCACCAGAAGCTCCTCCACTGAGTCAGAAATAAGTTACAACTTTTTAGCCCTCATCCATCCAAAAACTGCCTCCAGGCATCTGTTCATGGTTTCCACAGCCTCCCTGGGTTCTGCTGTAAGCATGAGATAGATCTGAGTGATGCATCTGTTGTTCAGTTTTAATTCAACTGAAGACATTCCTAGTTTTGCAAATCGTAACAGATTATGACATCCTCTGTTGACTACATGATCAGACATCTCTGCCAAATGGACCATTGAGGCATGTGTGATAAAGAACACTACTTTGATATCATTTTGATTCTGGTTCATTTGTATCTTGCCTTATTCCAAGGAGCTCAGAACAGTATTTGTGTTTCATGGCAGTCCTACAAGGTGCAAACTAGTCAAAACACAACGCAGGAGCAAGAGGTAGAACTACTCAACCCTTTCCTCACTAGCCTTTTTTCGTCCTCAGAATTGCAGAAAGATGCCTGGAGGCAAAAAGCTTGAACAGTCCACCCCTTCGGTCATTCTTCCACTTAAACTCATAACCTCCCAAATCTGCTTTTAGTTTAATAAGAAAACCTGGGTAAAAATACATGTGATTGCAAATCACATCTTGTTTTCTCTGAAAGACTAATTTATTCCAGTTAACTGTATGTTTTACGGCAGAATAGAGATAGGATCTTGGAGTTACCATATCTAAACCAATACCTTTGCCACTACAGCTGAGTGGTTTGTTGGGGTTTAATTTAATCAGAGCCACAACTCAGAACACGCTCACACTTCACAGCTGCATCATGGAGGTTATTTTAATTCATTCCACATAAAAGTTGTTATATGGCAAGCTGTTCACTGATATGGCTTATTCAGCTCAGTTGGGATGATTCTCTCCACACCACAGCAAACGATATGTTCCATGTGTTTGTAGTTGTACAGAGGAAATCTCTCAGAATATGAGTGTTTTAAATTTACAATACAGATTTGTGGTATGTTCCGACTGAAGGCAAACTCAATAATTTATGTCTCTGTGGGAACAGCCATATTGAGTATACTGTGTGTATACGTACAAAAGGAAGGTGTTAGACAGTGTGGGATGATTATCTAACCAGAGAACAACTAGGAAGTAGCTTCTTAGGGAAGCACAGGCTACAGGAATAGAAATTCTCTGTGCTACAGTAGGGTTGCCAAGTCCATCTTCCACCCCCAGCGGGGGACTTTGGGGGCGTTCCTGGAGGGGGCGGGGCATCCCCAACGTGATGACGTCACGTTGGGGACATCCGCCCCCCCCCCCGCGCACCAGATCTCCAGAAACGGCAGTTCCCTGCACTTAAAGGAGCCGGCGTTTCCCTTTTAAGTGCAGGAGCCGGTGTTTCCCCTTTAAGAGCAGCCACGTTTCCCTTTTAAGTGCACCTGGCATTTCCCTGCAAGCCTGATCTCAAGCGGAGATCGGGCTTGGGAGGAAACACAAGTTCCACACACTTAAAGGGAGAGAGAGGGGTGGCTGTGGGTGTTAGGGGTGGGGCTTCCCCCGCTGGCCATCTGGCCGGCGGTGGGTAGAACCCCCCAAAAAACGGGGGACCCCTGGCAAACCGGGGGGGTTGGCAACCCTATGCTACAGAGAATGCAGAAGCAGGAGGGGGATAAAAACATGGGAGCCTAGAACCTAAGCCTACTTCATTCCCTCGTGATACTGTAAATGCGTACATATTTGGGTAAGTTGTACACAACCTTTCATAATATTTAAAGGAGAAACAGCAATATTTCAAACATATTGCTTCCTTAACAAAACATGCATTTATGTTTTGAAAACAGTTGTTTACAGATTATTTTAATGGATTTCTTCACTTTTTTTAATATCATAGGAAAGACAGAACAGTTTGAACACAGCCTGATCATGCAACTTTTCTCTTGAAGCAGCATTCAAGTACTCTCATCCACTTGCATGTGCTTTCTTTTAAACATTGCATGACGAAAAAATATAATGTCAAAAAACAAGAAATTGCCGTGGCATATTTTAGTTAATCCACAGCAAAGGCAATAATTCATAGCTGATTCTATAGAAGTCAACATTTTTTCTACAGAAAGATATTTCCATACCGTAGCATACACGGCCATCTCCTTGGAAGCCCACTGAACATTCACAGCTGTACTGACTGCCTGTTCCTGGGCGACAGACTGCATTGGTGTCACAGCCATGGGAGCCCGTGTAGCAAGGATTGCGGTTTATATCAGCTGAATCACCTGGCAAGAGGCCACAGAAGATATTAAAATAAGAATGTGTTACATGAACTCACTATTTCTCCTGACAGATTTTGTGGGCTCAATAATAACTACAACAAATACTGTTTAAAAACGAAATTGTCTCTGTTAGAACTGACACACTAACTGGGAATCATGCATGGAAAAGGAGTGGCCTCTAAGCAGCTAACAGAAAATGCTAAAAATCCTATTGTCATATATATTAAGAAGTTTGTACCACTTGTGGGTGTGATGAAATGACTAAACATGTTAATGTATTCTGAAGATAAATAACTAGCCATCCCAAACCAGGATATTACAAGGTACAAGAAAAACAAACACAATATTTCTCTCTGTTAGTGTTAAGAACAGCATAATAAGGATGCTTGCCAGAGGTCCCATATCTCAGAAGGCATAACTGTTGACTAAGGCTTTTTGTCCACTATGAATATGCAACATTTGCCATATCCGTGGCTGTGCTCTCTCACACAATAGCCAATAAACAGGCTACTAGCCAATTTTTAAGGAAATTAAACCAGAATAATATCACTAAACATACCAATGACAGGACCAATTGAATTGCTCATTGCATATCGTAAAATCTGTTCATCTCTGTTATACAAGACAAAGACACTATCCACTGATAACTGCTGTGTGGCTGAAACAGAATGATGAGAGTCATCATAAATGCACTCATCAAACGTGATTGTCTGCCGCCACTGGTAAGGAACTGTGTAAGTTGGCGAGACTCCATCTCTTTCTGGTTCTGTCACAGTGTACTCTCTGGTAGATGATGATGTGATAACTGAAACAAAAAGATCATCATATTAATATAAAGGAAAGTAAGAACACAAAGAGAACTCATTCAGTATTCTACAGTTACATGTAAATGAAAGTATTAAAATATTAAAGGTACAGTAAAGGTTTCCCTTGCACAAAAGCTAGTCGAATCCGACTCTAGGGGGCAGTGCTCATCTCTGTTTCCAAGTTGAAGAGCCAGCGCTGTCCTAAGACATTTCCATGGTTATGTGGCCGGCATGACTAAATGCTGAAGTGCACGGAATCCTGTTACCTTCCCACCTGTTTATCGACTTGCAATTTCTTGCTTTCGAACTGCTAGGTTGGCAGGAGCTGGGGCCAGAGGCGGGAGCTCACTCAATCATGCAGCACTAGGGTCTCGAACTGCCAAACTACAGACCTTCCAGTCTGTAGCTAGGCGTCTTATTGTTTTAAATAAGAACAGAAATGTAATTTAATTTTGATTGACAGCTTAGGCTCCCTCGTACAAAAGCAGTTACCTATCTTTGGTTTATCTATGGTTTCAATTATCAGAGACCTGGTCAAGTTTGTAAGCTAACATTTTATTTTAAGAACATAAGCTTTCATAGTCCATAGTCCTTTTTAGCACATCCAGAAATAGACTGAACAACACATAACAGCAGCTATTTGAATTGAAAAAGAAATTACCCCAGTGGATTTTTTCTCATAAATAAATGCTATTTATTACTTGCCCAAGGTTTTATAATGAGTGAGAAATCAATTGTCCCTGTTTGGACCTTGGCTTATACACCTATACAAAAATCTAAGTTCTTCGCCATTGTATGTGTCATACATTCACCTGAATAGATTTGTTAGAGGGTAGTCACTTAGAGGACCTTGGTGGAGTCACCAGGAAGGCCAAAATATTCACACATGCTACTAAATTTGAGTGCAACATGATACAATTATTAATGAGAGAAAAAATAAAATGGAAAACTTCTCTGGTAATGAAGTTTTCTTGTAAAGTACCTTTATGTGGTCAAATTTTTCTTTTAATATAAGGAAAGCTATTTCTGCTTGAGAATCATGTAAAAGGGCACTCTAGCACTGATGGCCCAAAAGAAAGCTGGCCAAAGGTTTTTGGTTTGGGCGTGAGAAGGGAGTATGTTTGTTCCTCACCCATGTCCTACTCCTCTCCATCAAAGGAAGTGGTTATCCGTTCCTCCACCCCACAGAGGCTTCTGGTGCGGAGGGAAAGGTGTTGAGATTTGCTATGTTGAGAATCTAAAAGAAATCCTTAGCGAAGTGCTTGCACCAGTGACAGGTATCAAGGCAGAAGTACTACAAAGCGAAATGGATATGGCCTATCGGACATAAACAGAATTTATTAAGGAAAAAAACCTGCCTGATGAAATATATGTCAGATTCTCTAAGAAATCCATAAGAGATACAATACTGAAAGCCACATCTGGGACTACACTGAAAATCAAAGAAGAGATCAGAATCCTAAAAGACATTCCATTTGAGATAAGGAAGAAAAGAAAATTATACAAGAACTTAACCACTTATCTACAGGATACGTCCACCACCTACAGGTGGATACTACCTGAAGGCTTGATGTTCAACTATAAAGGCAAAAAAGAAAAGATTGATTCTCTTATTAAAGCGAAGCAGTTTTTGGAAAGACAACAAGATTCAGAAAAAGACAAAAAGAACACAGAGGAAGAAGAAGAAGGAGAAGCAGATAGCTTCCAGGACTTGGGAAGTCATGAAACAACCACAGATGGCAGCTCAGAGGTTGAATCCGAATCAGAATTAGGAGAAGTAGCACCTAAACCGCCTCGGGACTATAAAAGCAAGAAGAAAGGAAAGAAAGGCAAAAAATAGCTTAAATCTAAGAAGAAATAGTTATATTACATTACAAATTCTTGCATTGTTAATAGCTTTAACTTTATGCATATTGAAACAACAGAATGAGATTTTTATTCTTAACGTGTAGAGAAAAACTTTGACCTAAGATAACAATAATTATGCTATATGGTCACTGTGTAGCTGTAATTTTAGTTAGTGTGTAGTTTGTTAGGTTGTACATAGAAAATAAAACTTATATAATAAAAAAGAGAGATTTGCTATGTTGCTCCTACTCCTTCCCAAGTGAGTTGCTTCCTTCACTCTCCTCACATACTCTCTTGACAGCACTTGGCTGAAGAGATGAATGGCCTTGATGACAGACTCCTCAGCTCTAGGCCATGGGAGGTTAAATGCCTCCTCATAGCCCATGCAACCTCTACCCACCCAGTCCTGTTCCCTGCAGGCTTTCTGCCCTCCACTGTTGCCTGGGGTAGAGCCCCACTGTACCCTCTGTGGACCAAGGCTGGTAGCCCAGACCTTGGACAAGCCAGGCCACCCTCTGGCTATGTGGACATAAACCCACCCATCAGCTGGGCAGCAGCCATGTGCTGGGGGTTACATGGAGGCCTTTTGCATGGCTCCCCAATGGGCCATGGAAGCCTGGCCGCGTGGGCTGGCTCAGCAAAGGGCATGGAGCTGGGACACCTGGCAAGAACAGGTCACAGAGTGGTGACATTCTGTTATAAATAGTCATATAATCACTTTGTCCTTAGTGGGTAAAGCGAATATGGATAGGAACCAACTATTTGGGAAAAAGCTGACATAGGGTGGGTTTGGATGTAATGTAAAATGTAAAACCATGGTTTAATCAAACTAATGCTGGTTAGCGTATCATCTGAATGCAGCCTCTCAGTGACCACTTAGTTTGATCCCCTTAAGCCAGGACATGAAGCCACAATCCAAAGTTAGTTTATTAACCACAGTTGCTCTTAACAATGGTTTCACATGATATACAAATGAGAAATCCTGGCTTGTCACTTCTCATGCACTCTCTGAGCTACAGAGATTCCCGGCAAGAGGTCTCAGAATTCTTGCCTTTTACCATGCATCACTAGAAGTCTTCCTGTCCATGCATGCCTTAAAGGAGCTGAAATACTGGCATGTTCCATCCCAGGAGACTCCAAAGGCAGTGCCTCTGCAACCAGTCCTGGGAACTGCAGGAAGCAGCAGTGTAAAGGGTGAGCCTTCTTCTGTCACCGCTGAAGTGTGCCACTCCCCAGACTGTCTCACCATCACTGAACTACAAGACAAGCTGCAAAAGGAACACCTCTGTACCCCCTGTTAAGTCCAGTGCTTAACAAATAGTCAGAGAGTGATTTCAGCAAAAACTCAAGTTTAATCTTCAACACGAACACTTCTCCAACACGGTACAACATCTGATAGCCCAAACAGCTTGTCCATTGTAGCTGCTCGGTATTTAAACATTTCCCGGCTAATATAGCCACGCCTACTATACATGTAACAACCAATATGGTTGAGCGTATAAGAGCCAATCACCTTTGTTCCCGCTTACAGCTCGCTTGAACGTGATTGGACACATTTGTCTTGGCCTTGAATCCCTGTCCAAGACGAAGCTTAACATAGCTTCCCAATGAGATGTTTCACATTATGGCAGCTTCTGAATACATTACACCCCCACACACACACACCTTGGGGCTGAGGCAGTTGCACAGGTGTGTATTTTCTCCTGACATCTGTGAAGTACATCATTTCCTAGATCTGCTTTACCACTACGAGGGTGCAAAGTGAGGTTCAGTAGCAAATTGTGGAAGAAGATTGCTAACTGTGGGTTGAAACTTGGGTGTGTATGTGTGTGTTGGAGGAGCATTCAGTTTGACACTTAGAAGTCTGGCTGAGATTGTGTATGTGTCTGGTTGAAGTACATTTGGTATAAGGAAAGGGTTAAATCTATAAATCCAGAAAATTAAGGGCTCATGAACTGGTGGATTATTTCTGTGCTGAATTATTTTAGCTTCTCTACCCTCCCGGTATCACCAGCCAGAGATAAATGACTTGGTGCTACAGCAAAACTTTGCTTCTCAGCTTGCACCGCAATGTAGGCTGAGGACAAAGGACCAGCATCTAAAGGGAAGCCAAAGAAGTGGCACTCAGGCTTTGTCAAAACGAACCAGGATTGAATGTTTTGTCTGTGACCCAGATCTGGTTTCATAAAGCTAAAATAAGACACAGTTTCACTATCCATAGATAGTCCAACTTGTGTTATATGCTCTTATCCCAGATTTAGAAAGCGTGTTAACAGAGAAGTAAGGATTCATAAGCCTACAAAATGATTTTAGGGTATTTTTAACTCACCAGAGCTAGAGGAATGATAGAGCTCAGTATAGGGCTCTATCTGAACAGAAGAACCAAATGGGATATCAGGCACTCTGCCTTCAAGTTCTGTGCTGATTGTAAGATGTCCATGTTCATCAATTCCACTGAACTTCTGTTTGATGATCAGCTTGTCATTACTGTTGAGGAATGTAACTTCAGCTTGTCTTGTAAACTCACCACCTAGAAGTCAGGATTAATCAAATCATTTCTTATGTATATATTTAAAGAAATAGCTTTGGGGTTGTCATTGTCTGGAAGCACCCACGGTTAGAAAGGAAGAAAAGATTATCACCTATTTTCCCCCATAAGAAGTGGTTTTGTCGGACAACTGGTTTCAGAGATAAACAGCATGGATTTCAAAAGAATTCTCTTCCCTTCCCAGCTTTTACGAAAAATAACTTTGGGGTAAATAGTGCTGCTACGAAATATCAGCTAAAAGTGTTAATCTAGGGGACTTGTGAACTGCCCCTTGTGGCCTGTAAACAAAAGCACATTTGAAGCAATATCAGTGGGTAGCAGCTGTTTTTAAAAAATAAATTGTTAACAATATATTCAATAAAAGCTTTTAGCTGGCCTGCCTGTTTGTTTTGTCATGGTTACTCATTTTGGCCTTGTGGCAGTGCCAAAACAACAACAGGAAGAATTCTTTACTTTCACTCCCATGGGCAGGTAATGCAGTGTTCTGACTACCCATGCCCTGAAGAGCCTCTTATGCCTGCACTTTCCTTGGTCTCACCACACAAAGGGATGGGACCTCAGTGGGAGATGAATTTATTGGCTACCACAATTCCATTTATTGCTCAGGAGGGCTATTCTCACTATTCACCTTAGCTGTGGCCCATCTGCTCCTTTCCTGTTGTTTCTTCTTTCCTGAGCCAGACATCCCAAAACATCTTGTGTGCCTACAAGCCAACTCCTTACCCCTTCTTATCTACCCAAATTCTGCTCAATTGGCTCTTTGCTGTTATCTGCTTCTGCAAGGTAAATATCCACTGTCTAGCAGGTGCTGATAGAAGGATGGTACCAATGCTTTGGAAACAGCCCATGGAGGAATTGTAGACATACAAAAGAATGAATGATATAAAACAGAATGGCTTCTGGAGCAATCAGTGTAGATAGCATGAGACTGGAGTGATATAGTCACTACGACCCACTCCAGTAAGCATTCTGGCCACAGAATTCTGTACCAAATGTAGCATCTCGATGGTCAGCCCAACATACAGAACATGGAAGTATTCTGCTAAGTCCTAAGTCAATCCTGTCCATCAGTAGCACCTCTATCTTGTTAAGATGTAGGGTGATTTTGCACTACTGCCTCGTGGCGCAGCCGCCGTTTGCCCCACACACCACAGTGGTGAGGTCTTTTCTGTCCAGGAAGGGCCACAGCTGGCTCACCTGCCGAAGTTGCTGAAAGGTTCCCCTGGCCACCACTGCCACCTGTTTATCCAACAGGAGGTCCAGATCCAGGAGCACTCCAAGCTACAACCTACTCCTTTAAGTGGTTGTAGCTTGGAGTGCTCCCATCCATAATGTCAATCCTGAGTCAATCCTGTCCATCAGTAGCACCTCTGTTTTGTTAAGATTAACTTTCACTTTACTAGCCCTGATCAGTCCAAAAACTGCCTCCAGGCACAGAATTCTTGGGATCCACCAATAGCTTGTTACAGAGCTGAGTATCACACGCACATTGCTAACAACCAACCCAAATCTCTGAATGACCTTTCCCAGAAACTTCATGTAGATGTTGAAAAGCATGGGGGAACCATATAACCCAGAGGTCAAAGGGCAGAGCAGCAATCTCACAGCAACAACATCCAAAATCTACTCTCTGGGAAGGACTGAAACTACCACAAATTGGTGCTTCTCAGTCCAAAACCCTAAAAGGCAGTCAAGAAGAACATCATGGCCAATGATATCAGAAGTTGCCAAGTGGTCCAGGAGAATCAACTGAGTCACACTCTACCCAGGTCATCCAGGGCACTCAAAACGATTTCAGCGAAATAACACTGAAGACGATTTCACTGAAATAACCAGGCCTGAAAACAATTTGCTTAATCCAGGAATCTTTGGAGTTGTCCAGCCACCACTCATAAAGTCACCTTGCTCAAGAATGGTACATCTGAGACTGGATGATAATTATCCAGATCTCCTAGTCAAGAGTAGTCTTTAGAAGTGAATGCACCATCATCTGTTTTAAAGCAAGGGCAATCACCCCTCATCTCAAGGAGGCATTTAATGTCTCCCATACCCAATCAGCCAGGCCCTTCCCCCATCCACATGTTTAAGCAACTAGGAGTAGAGTTGCCAAGTCACTTACCCTTAAAAGTGGGGGAGAGCTGATGCTGTTCCAGGACATTCACGCTGGGCATGTCGCCAGCTGACGCTCTAGCAATCAGCCTGGAAACTATAGTACCATAGAGTTTTCAGGCTGATTGCTAGAGCGTCAGCCGGCGACGTGCCCAGCGTGATGATGTCACCACCGGGTGACGTCATTACGCCAGGCATGTCGGCCCAAACCGGGCGCTTTGGGGGCGGGGTTCCCCCCACCGGTCTGATCCGGACCAGTGGATTGTGGGCCCTTTGAACGGGGGAACCTCCACCCTCCGGGGGACCTGGCAGCCCTAACCAGGAGAGGAAACAGGTGGTAGGCCTCAGACTTCCAAACATCCTGTCCACATGCTAAATAAACCGAAAAGTATCCATACAACTGGACAACTGCTTATAGCTCCCTGAAATTTGAAGCAACTTTTAAAAAGCAAATATAAAATTTACCGGTAATACTGAACCCATTTTTATATCCTTGCTGTTCCACAGCAAACATCCATCCAATGACTCCTCCGATGGAGGCAAGAGGAAGCAAGGAAAACCCCAAAGCTTCTGGAATTGTGCTGATAGCAGTATAGGCACGTCCATGGTTCATCACAACGTAAGAGTGCAGGTCAGTGTTTTCAAATACTACTGGAACTGGGTTGTTACCTACAAAGATCCGTCCCTTGACTTTCCCATTAACTCGCTGAGGTGAGCCTAGTGTAATAAAAACAGATGCAACAAATTTACAGCACAGCAATTTTCGTTACCATATTTTGTCAATACATATCTTTTTGGGACAGTCTTCATTATAAGCAATTAATATAAGACACATCATTATATACCAAACTGCTCAGTGTGTTTGATGTGCCTGTCACATGAAAAAAATCCAGATTGGGGGGGGGAAGAGTGAGAAAGAGTGAGAGCGAGAGAGAAGATAGCTAGATAGACAGACAGACAGACATGTATGTATGTATGTCTCAAATTATTTAAAGAATGGCAGGAAAAGATTACAAGTATAACACCAACCTTTCATAGTTCTAACAGAGGGCAAACTAAAATGTAGGCATCCATGTGAATTCTCCTCAGGCACAAATGAGCATTTACTTTTGCCCAAATTTTCCATACCCACTCTGTCCAAGTAGACTGAAAGCCTGGTGCTCGTCTTACTTTCCTTTAGGCAGCAGACTAAAGATATTTCTTTTTTCCCAGGCTTTCAACCCAGGAGTTCCATCTTTTAAACTGCTTGCTGCTAGCCTGACAACTGCTTTATTAACATCATTTTAGCCCACTGACTGTTGCTCTAAGTCTTTTTAATGCCCTAGGCTTGTCGTTTCATTGATAATTCATATGCTGTTGTCTTTAGAATTTTATTGTATTGCTTTTATTTTGCAAACTGCCTCAACCAATTCTTTGCAGAGGAAAAGTACACTAAATAAAGAAGTTCAACAATGCACGTGATCATTGATAATTACAGTTAAAATGAACTTCCTGAAATTAATTTTAACTAGGATTTGAAATAACCATATGAAGCTCTCCTTATTTATTAATTGAAATACTTATATCCCACCTGCCCTCGTGGTTCAGCCATGGGAACAGATCTATTTTTGTGTGTACCCAAGCTGAGTACAATTATAGCTGCCAGCTTCAGAATATACCAACAGTAATCATGCTGTCCACATCCTCTTCAAAAAATTAATCTTTTAACTATTTTTAAGGGTTTTAATGTGTAGGTTTAGTGTTTGTTTTATTAAGGGACAAAGCTTGCTGAGGGAAGATTAGTATGGCTTCTGCAAAAGGAAGTCCTGCCTCACCAACGTTTTGGAGTTCTTTGAGAAAGTGAACAACTATGTAGACAGTGGTGACCCAGTAGACACTGTATACCTGGACTTCCAAAAAGGCTTTTGACAAGGTACCTCACCAAAGACTCCTGAGTAAACTTAGCAGTCATGGGATAAGATGGGTTTTCTTATGAATTAAAAACTGGCTAAATGACAGGAAGCAAAGAGTAGGAATCAATGGAGAGTTCTCACAATGGAGGAAAGTAAACAGTGGGGTCCCACAAAGATTGGTATTGGGACCGGGGCTATTTAATTGATTCATCAATGATCTGGAACTGGGAGTGAGTAGTGTAGTGGCCAGGTTTGCAGATGTCATCAAATTATTCAGGATGGTCAAAACCAAGGCTGACTGTGAAGAGCTCCAAGAGGACCTCCACAAACTGGGTGAGTGTATGACAATATGGCAAATGACGTTAGTGTTGGTAAGTGTAAAGTGATACACATTGGGACAAAAAAATCCCAACTTCAAGTATAGGCTAATGGGGTCTGAACTTCCTGAGACTGAGAGGGAAAAAGATCTTGGGGTTGTAGTGGATAACTCAATGAAAGTGTCAACCCAGTGTGCTGCAGCAATGAAAAAAATGCAAACTCTGTTTTAGGGATTCTTAGGAAAGCGATTGAGAATAAAATGGCCAATATTTTAATGCCCCTATATAGATCTATGGTGTGGCCTCATTTGAAATACTGTGTACAGTTCTGGTCCCCGTATCTCCAAAAGGACGTTGGAGAGCTGGAAAAAGTGCAGAGGAGGGCAACCAAGATGATTAGGGGGTTGGAACACCTTCCCTGTGAGGAAAGACTGAAGAGTCCGGGACTTTTCAGTTTAGAAAAGAGATGACTAAGGGGGGACATGATAAAGGTTTATAAAATTACGGTATGCATGGGATGGAGAGAGTTGACAAAGAGAAATTTTTCTCCCTCTCCCAAAATACTAGAACTCAAGAGCATCCAATAAAACTGATGGGTAGTAGGTTCAGGACGAAATACTACTTTTACACAGATTGATTAAAATGTGGAATTCACTGCCAGAGGATGTAGTGATGGCCACAGGAATAAACAGCTTTAAAAGGAGATTAGATAGATTCATGGAGGACAAGTCTATCAACGGCTACTAGCCATAGTAGCTGAGGGAAACCTCCACATTCCAAGGCAGTAAACTTCTGAATCCCAGAGCCAGGAGGTAATATCAGGCGAAGGCCTCGGCCTCTATGCCCTGTTGTTGCCCGTCCAAAGAAACTGGTTGGCCACTGTGTGAAACAGGATGCTGAACTAGATGAACCATTGGTCTGATCCAGCAGGGCTCTTTTTATGTTCTTAAACTGGTTTGTATTGGTTTTTAGAATGTTGTTACCCATCTTGGGTCCTGGGATGCCTGGGAGAAAGGCACACATATAAATATTTGAAATAAATAAATCTGAATTTTCTTATTTTAAACAAAGGTATAATATTTGGATTTTAAGGGGGGATCAAGGCCTTGACAATTCAGAATGTTCATTTATTCATTATTTAAAATGAACTTACAGATTTCTAATTACTTGGACCAAATTCCTACAAATTGCAAAGTCTTTGAATTGCACAATTTCTTAATAAATAAAGACGATCCAAAAATTGCATCGTCAGTTAATTTCACAGCTAGTTAACCAAACTGGGAAAGGGGTGAAATGTTTATACACATGGTCTCCTTTAAATATCTTTACTGGAAACAGTGAGAAGTTAGAGGTAGACAACAGCCTTTTCTTTAATTTCTGTCAGGTTTTCATAGAAGCTTCCTGTTCTGGGTGTTGCTGGAGATAATGCATTGGACTTTGTCCAGAGGTAGGACCCCCCCTACTCCCGCCATTACCCAGCAGCAAGAGGTACATAGAGGATCCTCCATTTGACTAGCACAATGGAACATGAAGACAACAATTGGGGAAAGGACAGCCAGGGCAGGCAGGAGCACTGGGAGAGCTGGCAAACTCTGAATTGCTGCAGGATGCAGTGCAGCAGCCAGTGATGCCAGTGGGAGTGATGCAGCCTGGGAGGCAGCCACTACACATGAAGCCAGGCCCCACAAAGCAGAGCCGGATGGGGGAAGAGAGGACCCAGGCTGGTGAGGTGAATCCATGGCAGCAGACTGGGCTCCCAGCTCCCCAACAAGAGCTCAGTGGGGGGGGGGTGGAAGCAGTGGCAGGCCCTTGAAAATTCCCAAGGGGGTGCAGCTCAGAGGGAAGGACCCACAATGCCCCCCCATCAGCCCTGGATCCTACCAAGTAGGAAGCCCTGACCTAGTGCCCACAGGGCCTGGAGGCCTTTTAAGAGCAAGGGCCTGGAGACCTTTTAAGAGCAAGCCTGAAGTGAGCTGGGGAGGAAGAACAAGGTCCCTCCTGGGAGGCTCCTTGAAGGGCTAAGCAGCAGCAGGGAAAAGGGAGTTCAGTGAAGACAACTCACATTCCCCATTGCTTTACTGAGACTCCTGAATAGGGTATCAACCAAAGCACCTGTCTGCAGCTTGGTTGCCATGGAGAGGTATGGGGGAGTGCAAACTGGAATGTATACTTTCATTTCTGGCCACTATATTGTTATTTGTCTGGTGTCTGGTGTAGCCATGTAACCTTGAGACCTACACTGTCTTTAGTATTCTCTTCCCCCTTGATTTCTTAGGGCGTTAATTCAGTGGGCTTTTAGTTCAGATTTGATTGGCCAAGAGCCATTAATGTCTTGTTTGATTATGCTATAATTGCTGGCTTCGTGCGCTTGACCTCAGTGCTAACAAGAAACGTCATAAGTCTGGAGCCTATCAATGTCTCAATAAACTTTACTTCTTCTGAATGATTGTTATTGGGAACTGATTTCTCTGGGGCTCTGACACAGGGTTCCATTCCCCAGATGGGGGTGCTGGATCCATCACTTTTGCAGGCTCCTGCCCACCGGCAGCCAGCTGGACAGAGGGAGAAAATTCCGCCACCTCCGACCCCATGCCGAAAAAGCAGAGCATTGGTGATGTTAGTGTGTTGCATGACAGCCCTGCCCACCCCCAGAATGCTCCCCAAATCCCCCTGCTGGCACAAAAAGGGACCTGGCAACCCTACTCCTGAAAGACCAGCACAGCTAAAAGGGGAGACCCTGCATGGCGCACAGCCCCAGACTCCCCCCCCCCCAAGGACCCAGAAGTGGACAAATTTGCAAGACCCCTATTTGCCCCAGCATGGCAACAATTATATTAATTTTCATTAGTTAAAACTGTGTAACTTGTGATAAATTTTAGAATATTTTGTTTTGAAATAATTTAAAATTACCTTCTGCTACACACTGCCGGCCATTTCCTTTGTAACCAGCAATACAGCTACAACAAAAGCCATCTGGATAGTCCTTGCAAACAGCATGAACAGAACACTGATGGCGGTTGTTTGCACAGGTTTGCTGGACATCTGTATTGTAACGAAACACTGTAGAGAATGAAGAACAGAACACAGCATGTAGAGAACACAGCATTTTACTGAGGAGTCAAAAACTCTGCCTCTATCCCAGTCACAAAGCATTCTAAGTGAGTCATGGCGTATTTTATTCTTCCAAACACTTCCCCAGTCATCTGTAAAACCTCTGTACCCATGGAAGAAGATAATGTAATCATGCTGAAACAGGAGACTCTATTCCTG